GCTCACTGCAACCTCCGACTCCCTGGTTCAAGTGGTTCAGTAGGAGCTAATTTTCAAAAAAGGTTTAAAGACTTATTCCTGGTGATGTTTCTTTATTTCTCTCTCTCTCTCTCCATTTTGTCTCTATTTTAGAATGATCCTAAATGCACAAAAAAAATGTGCTTTCAATGGCTCATATCATGGAGTGGCTCAGGGAAATGAAATCTGTCTACAAAAAGAAAAAAGTGGTTGCGAATCCTTGTCTTTTTTCATCATAAAGATTTTTTTTTCTTTTGGTATCACCATTACTTCTCCTAATGTCACGACGTTGTATCTCCTACAGCAGAAATGACTTAAGTGGAATTGACATCTCCTTCCATCAAGCGTATTTGCAGTCCATCTTTAGCAGGACCTCTCTCTAATGGCTAAGGCTAGGGAGAAGAATTTGAAGATAGTCTGGTTTCCATTTTCCTAATGCAGCCTGGCACGGGGCAAGTCTCCCGAAAGACTAGTCTACTGGGGGAGTCAGGGTCTTTTCCAGGTATGGAGGCTAATGTTCTATGCTTCACAGCCTGGAATAAAGGTGGAAGGGAAGAAGGTAACCAGGCTGGCCTCGGGGTGCGGGGTGCGCAGACCACGGCTGGGGCATTGACTTCTGCAGGGACGTGAGCAGTGTGGCCCCGGGCTACTCAAGGAACGCCTCTGCAAGAACACTCATTTTCAGACTGTGGTTGAGCGCCCAAGGCAGGAGTGTGCAAAGAAAGTTAACGCCTCTCCCAGCTGTCCCCACAATCTGCAGATCTGGGCCTGATGAAAAAATGTTCGGAGAAGAACCATCTCGACCGAGTTTCGTGAAAAGGCTGAGTACGAACTACTCTGGCTCTACTTGGGGCGCCGGCTCAGAGAGATGGGGAGAACGTCCACGAGGGAGAAAGAGTGGCGGCGGTTTTTCAAGGAGTCTGAACCAACTCACCTAGCAAACCCTCCTCCCACCGAGTGCCCAGCGAAGGACCATCTCAGGGCTGAGGCTCCTGCCCTCAGTCTCGATGGCGGCCAAGGCGCGCCCGCGCCAAGGCGCACGCGCGGACCTCCGCGCTCCCTCGACCAGGCCTTCCGCGCACGGCACCGCCCACTCACCAGCTGCACTTCTCTGCACGTCCCCAGCCTCACCCGCTCGGAGGCTGCCCCTGCTCGTCTGGCTCCCGAGCCCGGAAGTGGATGCGACGGCTTGGCAGAGAGGACGAGGGGGAGGGGAAAGTGCTTCCGGGGAAACGGGCCGGGGTTGGTGTTTGTAAACTTGCCTCGGTCCCGGTGGGGGCAGCGGCGGCCGCGGGGTTGGCAGGGTGTGCTGGGGCCTGGAGGAGGCGCCGCGCGGCCAGAGAGCCAGCGGGAGGCAGCGCCTGGCAGGTAAGAGCACGCCCCAGAGAGCCCAGCGTCGTCAGTGCAGACGGCAGCGCTTCAGTAGCTCGCAAACCGTAGGGCGCCGCGCGGGAAGGGGGAGGGGAGGGGAGGAGGGGCGCGTGGCGAAGGGAGGGGGCTTTCCAGGGGAGGGAGGGGAAAGGCCGTGCGCGCACACCGCCCCCCGCCCGCGCGTCCCACCGCGTCCGCGGCCCAGGAGAGGGGGCTAGCTCGGAGGGGACACGGGCGCGAGCACGCACCTTGCGCGCTTCTCGGTGCTCTCCGGCTCTGCTCCCGGTTGGCGCAGCGGGTGCAGGGGCTGGCTGGCCTGAGCGAGCTTCGGGCTTCGCCTGCCTGCCCTCCACCTCCGCAGCGAGTTTTCCTACTTCGGGCGGACGCGGAGAACACGCACGTGTGGGCACTGCCAGTCCCGTTTCTGCCCGCCACCGAAGCACCCAGCGATGGCCCTTGAGCTTTCCTCCACCCTAGTCTGGCCGCCTCTGTAAACGAGCTTTTCGGGCCGGCCCACTGGGCACAAAAGCCCCAAAGGATCTCCGCCCCCTTCGTCCATTCCTGAGATGGCAAATCTAAGCAGTTGCCATGTTGGCAGAGTTCCTCCATAGGAGGCCCCAATTACTTTTGCTCCTGTTGGCTTCCCCTCCTTGCCCAGGAGACCAGTTCCTCCTATTGACCTAGAAAGAAAACTCTTCTTGACTCATGTCCTCGTTCTGAGCTTCACAGAGAGTGCCCAGCAAAAAAAAAGTTCACATCGCACATTGTAAAGGCCTGAGGATGTTGCGCTTAGCAGCCCCCATCTTCCTTTCTGGTTTCAGGTTTCTGAAACATCGTGAGTTTCATCAAGAGAATTCAACTGGAAAACCAAGACTGGTAGACTTTTTCTTCAGACAATAGGCAGGAGCCAGGCACAGTCCAGAGATTCTTGGAACACCCATCTTTTCTTTGGAGGACGCTAACTTCTATTTGAAGACAAAGTTCAACATGGCAACAGAACTGATGGGACACAAAGGAGTCGTTACCGTGATTTGGTGACAGTTCTTCAAAACGGCAGTGTCTTAAGGAAAGGTGGACCAAGGAACTCCTGAACTTTTGGGTTGCATTAAGTGAGAAATCAGCATGGCTCAGGTAAAAAGCTCTAGAGTCCTCCTCCAAGATCACTGGGAAGCCTGTTTGCAGTTTCACTCTTGAATGCTGCCTTAGTCAACCTATTGACCAACCCCAGGGATCCAAGCTCTGTATTAAGCACCAGGGGGAGATCTAGAGGAAGGAAAGGAGACAGGCCACAGCCCCTGCCTTCAGGGAGCTTCCAGTCAAATGAAGGAGGTAGGCTATACTGCATCACAGGCACTGATGGGACATTTGCAAAGCAACATGTACTCAGTTTACATTTGGTACATTAAGTGCTGAGGGGTGTAAGGGAGTGAATAGTATGGTGAATGCTTCATTTGTTTTTTTCAACAGGAGTTTATTGAGTTCCTGTTACATGCAAGGCATTGCGCTGGGAATACAAAGATGAATAAGATTGTCCTTGTCCCCAGTGAGCTTCCAGGCTAGTTGGGGTCGGGGGAGCAATGGAAAGACAGTTATTTATTTTTATATTCACAATGCCTTGTATAGTGGCTAGCTAGTAGTAGAGACTCTGACTCTGTTGATTGAGGAATGTGCAGTAACAGGGGTATGTACCTAGGAGAGAACAATACTTCTGCTTGGATAGAAAAGATGAAGCTTGAAAGATGCATAGGATATTGCTAGACAAGCACAAGGGTGTTTGGACAAAAGGAACTGCATGGGCAGGAGCGTAGAGTCATGGAAAAACGTGATGAGGTTCCAGGTACTGCAGATAGTTTGGTAGTTACAGAGCAAAGGATTTAAGTGGGGATAGTTATAGAGGTAGTATTGACAGTGGTAGGTGAGGAAGTTATTCCCTGCAGTACGCAGAGTGTAACCCAAGGGCCTTTTATGCCTTGCTACGTCAAGCAGCCGAGTAGCCTCAGATCAGTGTATGTAGAAGGCCATTATTGTGGAGGTAGAGGATGGATTGTAGAGACAGAATGAGAGCTAGGCTGTTGTAGTCACCTGAGTAGAATAGCTGTGTGCACGTATCTCCAGAGCTTCTCCCAACTTTCTTCTAGGGAACCTCCCCTACCAGTCTCACCAGGATGACAGCCTGATTGTAGCATAATTGGCTTTCCTCCCGCTGCCTCTGAATGCACAGCTTCCTCTGAATGCACAGCTTCCTCCTCTCCATGTAGAATAGAAGCCCGTCAGTTTCTTCTTCCTTTGTCTTTCGCAACCCACTTCTCAGCATTGTGTTCACTCTTCTGAGAAGGCTGCCTTCCACTAAGGACTCAACTTCGTACTGGACACTTAAGCATTTTACAACTTAGTTTACTTCTCATCAGCCCTGTGAGGATAAGCATTATGACAGGCATTTTTCATGTAAGGAAACTGTGGCTTGCAAAGGTGGAATAACTTGCCTAAGATTACACAGTGCAAACAGCTGAGCTAAGATTTTAACTGTGGATCTTTCACTCAAAGTCCCAGAAGGTGGAGGGAGGGTCCCAGAATATACTGATCATCCAAAAGGAATTTCTTCATAAATTTGGGAGTTTGGTGACGAACTTCTTAAAAGTTTTTTTTTCTTTTTTTTGGTAAGAAAAGTACTTTCTTTAATGCTGGCTAACCGAAGTCAGTTTGAAGAATGTAACAATGGAAAAAGGACGTTTACTTAAACATAACTTTGCTTAGGTAATTTTTTAAACTATTTGTGGAGCAAGGAATGTGAAAAAATGTAATCACACATGCACACATGTAAATGCCCTAAGAGGTCAAGAGAAATAACTCCAAAAATGTTTCCAAGTGGTTTAATTTTTATATCAGTTGCAATTGGTAATACTTAGGGAATTTAAAATCAAAAGAGAGAAATGGCCTGTAATCTCAGCACTTTAGGAGGCTGAGGCTGGAGGATTGCTTAAGCTCAGGAGTTTCAGATCAGCCTGGGCAACATGGTGAAACCCTGTTTCTATAAATACAAAAAAAAAAAAATAGCCAGGCGTGGCGGCACTCTCTTCAAGTCCCAGATACTCAGGAGGTAGAAGTAGAGGATTGCTTAAGCCAGGTAGGTCAAGAATGCAGTGAGCTCAGATTGTGCCACTGCACTCCAGCCTAGGCGACAGAGTGTCACCCTGTCTCAACCAACAAACAAAAAGGAATCTGCTAGAAAATACAATTGGGACCAGCAAGATCTGCCAATCAAAAGTGGGCACTGAAGCTGAGGGCTGTTTTGCTGTTTTTGTTTTGTTGAATTTCACTCTTGTTGCCCAGGCTGGAGTGCAACGGCTCAATCTCAGCTCACCGCAACCTCTGCCTCCTGGGTTCAAGTGATTCTTCTGCCTCACCCTCCCAAGTAGCTAGGATTGCAGGCATGCACCACCACACCTGGCTAATTTTGTATTTTTAGTAGAGACGAGGTTTCTCCATGTTGATCAGGCTGCTTTCGCCCAACCTGTGTTGTTGTTTTTTTTTTGAGACAGAGTCTCTCTATCACCCAGGCTGGAGTGAAGTGACGCAGTCCCGGCTCCCAGGTTCAAGCAATTCTGCCTCAGCCTCCCGAGCAGCTGGGACTATAGGCGCATGCCACCACACCCAGCTTATTTTTTACTTTAGTTGAGAGGGGATTTCACCATATTGGCCAGGCCGGTCTCAAATTCCTGACCTTGTGATCCACCTGCCTCGGCCTCCCAAAGTGCTGGGCTTACAGGCGGGAGAAACTGCACCCGGCCCAGCTAAGGGCTGTTGAGAGAGGAAGGAGGAGTGTCCCAAAGGAATTTCCCGTGTCAATGGGTTGGCAAGATGGAACCTCATACCCACTCACAGTTAAGGCCTAGAAATACCTTAAAATAAATATGTAGCCACACACAGTACCTTGCACAGTGCTGACAAAGGTGTCAGTAATACTTGATTGTTTACTTGATCGATATTTAAATGCTGAGGGATGACAAGTTGTTCCTGGTGAGATGAGTTAGGGAGAACTCGAAGGAAGCAGGCTTTGGCAGTGAGGAGGGACAGTCCCTGGAGAGAAGCAGTTTGTAGCTGGGCGTAAAAGGTAGTTCTTTAGAGGATGGCAGCCTGTTTTTGCCCTGCCCTGCCAGGTGACCTGACACCTCATTTCCTTTCAACTTAGGCAAGTCTCCTGGCTTGTGAAGGCCTAGCAGGTGTGAGTTTGGTTCCCACTGCAGCCAGCAAGAAGATGATGCTGAGCCAGATTGCCAGCAAGCAGGCCGAGAATGGCGAGCGGGCAGGTAGCCCTGATGTGCTGAGGTGCTCGAGTCAGGTACAGCACTTGAGTCCATTGTGGCACCTGGGGATCGGGTGGCCCGAGCTCTCTGCCAGGAGACACCATGCTCTGATTCCTTGATGCTTCTGCATAGGGAAGTGGGGCAAGGGGATCCAGCTGGGGAATGGATGAACACTGGTATTTCAGAAAGCTAAGGAAGGTCTTTTCTGTACCTTCAACCCTTTAAGACCAGGTGCTTGGAGAGGAAATAGTTGTATACTTCCTCTAAGCCTTTGGGGCAGGTGGTTTACTCTTATTTATGAATTTTGTCTGAGAGCAGCATTGGGTCTCATCTCGTGTTCTGAGATGGACTGTGAGTTTAGATTTGATTTGTCTTTGAAGGGTCACCGAAAAGAGAGTGATAAGTCCCGGAGCCGCAAAGATGATGACAGCTTGTCTGAGGCCTCTCATTCAAAAAAGACTGTTAAAAAGGCAGGTAATGGGGTGATCCCCCAAACACATACAGTTTGGTAATGGGGTAATATTCCTCCTCCTTCCTTCTACCTTGTATCCTGACCTTTCCCTAGATGCTTTGATCTTTAATAGCCAGCGAGTGAGTCGCCCAGATTTCATCTGGAGACTATCTTGGTAGTTGACCTCTAGCTTTGCTGGAACAGTGATGGTACAGGTTAGGGAGCATGAGATCCCAGATCCAACGGCATGGGGGCAGGCAGGCTCCAGTTTAAGTCATACTCAGAGTGCTGGGTTTGACAGGATAGACAGCTTACCCACTCCACCTCCTTCCCCAAAGGGTCTCTTACCTCCATGGAGTGCGGGAGATGGCAGTACCTTTAGACAGCATCAGAGAGGTTCCTTTCTCCAACAGCCGGAAGTGGACCCAGAGTAGAACAGTCTCTTCAGGAAGAGGGCAGTGGTGGCCTCATGACATGCCTGATTATTGCCCCCAGGTGGTGGTAGTGGAACAAAATGGTTCTTTTCAAGTAAAGATTCCCAAAAATTTTGTTTGTGAACACTGCTTTGGAGCCTTTCGGAGCAGTTACCACCTAAAGAGGCACATCCTTATTCATACTGGTAAGTCTCTTCCTTATATTCAAAGGGGGAGAATAGTCTATCACTTGTATTCCATGTCTGTGTGTGGCTCTCATTGGGTTTATTTTAATGGGTAAGTATTAGAAATGAAGAAGATAAGTCAGTGAAGCAGAGATATTGCATGGCTTTGTTTCTGGTGTCACTGAAACCAGCAGCTTTGGGGACCACTCCCTATTTATGATCACTTAGGTGTCTACACATTACTAAGAGTTAAAGTTTCTGAGAAAATAACTGGAGTGAGG